ACTGCATCGTCCACAGACCTGTTTGCTCTGTAGGCAAACTGAAGAGGATCCAGCAAGGGTCCAGTGATGTCCTTCAGGTAGGCCAGGACCAGTCGCTCAAATGACTTCATGACCACAGACGTGAGAGCGACAGGTCTGTAGTCATTAAGTCCAGTGATTTGGGTTTTTTGGGGGACTGGAATAGGGGGAATACAAGGCAACGTGGGTGTTGTCTTGTACAAGGTGATGTTTTTCAGACCGGTCCATACTGACACCGGATCGTTGGCTGAAAACTGTTTTCTCAGCTTTTCAGAGTAGTTCTTTTTAGCCACATCTCCTTTGTTAGTCTGTTCCTGGCCTGGTTATACAAGATTTTATGCCCACTTCTGTAAGCATCCTCTTTGGTGTTTATCATTATTGAATGATAAGAATGTCCTGGTGGGGATGCACATATCCTCACAGAAACTGATATATGAAGTTACAGTTTCCGTGAGCTCGTCCAGATCGGTGGCAGCAGCTTCAAAAACACTCCAATCAGTGAGGTCGAAACGGGCTTGTAAATCTCGCTCTGCTTCATTAGTCCATCTTTTAACAGTCCTTAAACTGATATAAGATGTTACAGTCTCTGTGAGCTCGTCCAGATCGGTGGCTGCAGCTTCAAAGATGCTCCAATCAGTGAGGTCAAAACAAGCTTGTAAATCCTGCTCTGCTTCGTTAGTTTATCTTTTTACGGTCCTTAATACAGGTTTAGCTGATTTCAGTTTCTGCCTGTAGGTCGGTATAAGATGAACCAAACAGTGATCAGAGAGCCCCAAAGCTGCCCGTGGAACAGAGTGATATGCATCCTTAATTGTTGTGTAACAGTGATCCAATATATTACTGTCTCTGGTGGGACATGTAACGTGCTCTCTGTATTTTGGCAGTTCACGGGAGAGATTTGCTTTGTTACCGTTGTTCCATTTCAGTTATTTGTTTGGCAAGCTGTTGCATTGCGGCGCTCACGCACGCGTCCGGAGGCACGTACACATTCACGAAAATGAAAGGGGAAAACTCCCGGGGAGAATAGAACGTTTTACAGTTTATGAAGAGTGCCTCTAGATTAGGAGAGCACATCTTCTTCAGAGTTGTTACGTCTGAACACCAACCTTCATTTATGTAAAAACATAGTCCACCGCCTCTCATTTTCCCCGTTAACTCCGCGATGCGATCCGCTCTGAACAGCTGGTAGCCCGGCAGATGAAGGGCGTTGTCCGGAATGGCTTCACTCAGCCAGGTTTCAGTGAAGCACAATGCAGCAGATTTTGAAATGTCCTTGTTTGTACGGGTGAGAAGTAGTTCATCCGTTTTGTTAGGAAGGGAACGGAGATTCACTAGATATATACTAGGGAGCACAGTTCGGAAGCCGCGTTCGCGGAGCTTAACCAGCGCGCCGGCGCATTTCCCTCTTTTCCCTCTAAACGCGCGTTTGACTAGGACCGCTGCCCCTCTGACCAAAACATCCAACAAAGCATCTGAATAATCAAAAACCGGAAAAAATTGTCTGGTGTGTGTTGCCTTATGTCCAGTAGTTCGTCTCTGGTAAAACTGATAGTAAGAGAATGACTAAACACAGAACAAACCAACAAAAACAGTACTAGAATGGGAGCGTTCACCCTAAAATGAAAATTCTGTCATTACTCACCCTCATGTCGTTCCAAACCTGTAAGACCTTTGTTCATCTTCGGAACACAAATTAAAATATTTTTAATGCATTCAGAGCTCTCTGACCCTCCCATAGACAGCAAGGATCCTTACACGATCAAGGCTCATAAACATAGCAAGGTGATCGTTAAAATAATCCACGTGACATCAGTGGTTCAACCATAATTTTACGAAGCTAAGAGAATACTTTTTGTGCGCAAAGAAAAAATGCTGACACAGAACAGCATACGTTGTTTAAAGGGGTCATATGATGTTGCTAAAAAGAACATTATTTTGTGTATTTGGTGTAATAAAATGTGTTTATGCTGTTTAAGGTTCAAAAAACACATTATTTTCCACATACTGTACATTATTGTTTCTCCTCTATGCCCCGCCTTTCTGAAACGTGTCGATTTTTACAAAGCTCATCGGTCTCAAAAGCGAGGTGGGTCATATGACCCCTTTAACGTATGTGATACTCCAAACTGGCACTATAGGGCAGGGGTTTTCAACCTTTTAGGACATTTGCACCCCCCCCCCAAGTTGGTCTAATTATATATCCTGCAGTCACTTCCTGAGTTCATTTCCTGCTCTCTCTTGTTCTGGGACTATCATATACACAGTTTTTCTCTCTCCAACACAGTGAAGAGTGCGTCCTTTCGCTGTCTTTCAACAATAAATGTCTATCCCAAGATGAGGAGGTTAAGAGCACTCTCTATACAGCCCCAAACACACACATATATATAAACTGCATTCATTTCCATTTGATAGAAGCAGCGCGACCCTCTCTGGCCCAGCCATGATTGCAATAATCTCCATTGAAATATGACAGATAAGAGCAATCAATAGCAGAGGGGAGAGGAGAGGACAGTTTGGTCATACAGGCAGTGAAAATAATTATTTTCTCTGTGTGTGTCTAGAGAGAGACTAGCAGTAATTTCCCATGATATCTGATATGTGCGCGCGCGTGTATGTGTTCCTGTGTTCCTCGATAAATGTGCGGACAGGGGGGAAAAGCCCCTCTGGCTGTGTTTGTGACTGACAGCGATGGATACCTGCCAATCATTCAGCGATGTCATTCACAAAACAAAATGCTTTTCATTGTCCGTTTAGCGCGGGGGAGGGGCTGACCGACCGGAGCAGGGAGGGAAAGTCTTAAACACAATTGCACAGTTCACACGGGTTATTAGTTCTGCTGCATCATTTATACATATAGAGAGCAAACAGAACACTTCTGTTAGTTGAATAAATGACTTTTGTAGTACATCAGAAGCATGTTTTTGGGCTTGTATCATCTGAGCGCCTTGTTTGGTCACACAAACTGCTGTTTACATGGTGTATTTATTTTATTAAAGTATGATTTGCTGTTTTGAAGACTAGAGCAATAAGACTGAGAGACACCTTTCTTGTTTACCCTTTTCCCCTCTCCCAGGCAGCTTGATGCTCTATGTATTAGACATTGATACATACACTCTTTATAATATATGTAATTTAATAGAAAATAATAATTATAATGTAATAACTTTAATTTTTATCATTTTTATTCATCATATTTTTTCCTTATCCTTTATTATTATTATATGTGTTTTATACACAACAAATCAAAAGTTTGGGTTAGGTACGTTTTTTCCTTTTTCTTTTTTAAATAAATGAATGCTTTTATTCAGTGAAGATGTATTAAATTGATCAAAGTTGGCAGTAAGGATGTTTATAATGTCTCTGTTTCAAATAAATGCTATTCTTTTGAACTATTCTTTTGATATTCATCAAAATATCCCTTTCGGGCGTCCCGAGTTCGAGTCCCGGCTCATGGACCTTTCTCAATCCTGCTCAACCCCACCCCACCCTCCCCCCTCCCACTTTGCTTCCTGTCTAAGTGACTGTCCTGTCCTAAAGGAAAAACGCCAAAAATAAATGTAAAAAAGGAATAAATTACGTTTTTAAAATATATCAAAATTGAAAGCACATTATTTTAAATTGTAATAATAATTCATAGTTTTTTTTAACTTTTTTTTTTTTTTACTGTATTTATAATCCAAAAAACGTCGCCTTGCTAAGCTTCTAAAAAAGTTTTTTTATTTTTTTAACTTAAAGTAAAAATACGTAAAGTAAAAATACTGTCCTGTCAAAAACTTTTTTTTTCACATGTGAAAAAGTATTTAGATTTGTGCCACATTCGGCTGCAGTGTGAATATAGTTTAAGAATCTCCATCAGACACTTTAGTTTCATTTGTTCCACCAATTATACACTTTTTCTTTAGAGTTAATACCCAAACAACACATACCTGCAGACTTTTTTGTTTTCCCACTCGTATTCATTCCTCTTTTTTTCTATTCAGCTGTCTGTACCTTACATTTCCCTCGCTCTGCAAAGGTCTACATCACCATCGCTATTGTTAGCCTCCAGCAAACATGAAAAAGAGAAGGCACGAGAGAAAGAAAGATGTGATTAATTGTAAATTGAGAATCGGCTTACCTTTGATTATCCCTCCCCTCCCTTTCTCTTGCTTTCTCTCACTCACTCACACTAATAAAGGGGACAAACCTGATAAAGTCAGTAGATGGGTAAGCGACAGAGGTTGAGACAATAGTCAACACTCGTCAATAGGGTGAAATTCTCTCGGCCATCAGCTTGGCTCTGATAGCGGCTCTGATAAATCGAATCGGGGGCGAGACAGAAGGCTAATTTGTAGGCTTTTCTTTATACTGTTGTATTCTCAAATTCTTAAGAGAAAGTAACTTTTCTTTCATTCGTTCGGTGGATTACGGCGATAATGTCAGCCAGTTTACTTTCACTTCTTCCTTCCGTTTCTGTCTCTCTGCCTCTATCTCCTGATCAGGGATTGAGTTTGGCTGTTTGATTATCTGCCTGTTCTCCTCAACCGGACAAATCAGTGCAATTATACTCACTGCCGAGAGAGAGAGAGAGAGAGAGAGAGAGTGACGGAAAGGGGGAGAAAGAGAGAGAGAAAGTGAGAGAGATGGAAGGATGACGAGTGGGAGATGTATGCGATAAGACTGAGGCAGGATTAGTTTAGTGTTTCTTGGTATCGTGCTCTCTTATCATGGAGAACCATCCTTGACATTAGCTGTCAACGCCTGCCGCATCCTACTGCTCCCAGCTTGTC